ATGCAATACCCACCCACTGGCCCCGAAAGGCCTGGGAGCTGCGCCAGCACCCCATACCTTCAGCCAGCACAGAGCATTTCCTCTAGGACCACTTCCTTCCCTCCCCCACTCAGACCCCAAATGTATGTCTTAAATGAAGGTACAGAAGGGGAGAGCCTGCCACACATGAATTCTGAGGGTGTGCAATAGAGGGGCCTTCCTCTGGGACCCCGGGAAGGTCAGCAGGGACCATGGAAAGACATAGATTGTTCTCTTTTAGAGCAACCAGGGGCAGCTGCAAGCAAGTAGCATGGGATATGAACTCTCCTGTCTTCTCTCTTTTATGTGCCTGTAGCCTACCAGCCTCCCTCCCCACCACCTCACAGTGGCTTCCACCGCTACCAATTCTACGTCTATCTTCAGGAAGGAAAGACCATCAACCTCCTTCCAAAAGAAAACAAAACACGAGGTAGGGTCTCCTCATCCTTCCTGCTGCAGCCATGGTAGATGAAAAGGTGAAATCGAAATCTCATGCATCCATGGGGAACTTGGGCCTTGAGAGACAATGACCCATGAGCCTTGGAGACAGGAGTCATCGAGTAGTGTTTCTGTGGTACGAGCTGAAATGAGGGCCCTAAGAGAGGTGTTGGCTTTAGATGTGGTCTCCTCTCAGAAGTACATCCCCTAGACCAAGAAGCACCGCTGAGACCTTGCCTGGCATGTGCAGGCAGCTACCCCACAACACCTTGGCCAGTGATTGTGCCTCCTAATTGAGGCTGATCTGGGCAAGAGGGCGCTGGAATGCCACCCTGCCGGTCTGTCTTCATTGGCAGCTAATTGCCTGGTCTGCCCTGCCATCTCCATCTCCGTGGTAGGGCAGAGACTTCCTCAGCCACAAACCTTCTCCCAGCCCGGAAGAAACCCTTCTCAGCTGGGCAAAGGACCCCTTCCCCAAGGCCTCCTACTTGGCTTGGCCTTGGTCCTCCTACCCCCAAGACGGGGAAGAGGAGGATCTATGGACTGGGCCACTGCAGCCCACAGGTAACTCACTCGAGTGAGCCACATCTCCCCTCGCTGAGCCTCTGATTCCTCTTCAGGAAAATGAGACACAAAGCAATATCTGTGGGCTCCATGACCGCCCCGACGGTTAGGAAAAGGGAGGTCATGGCACATGCACAAATGGCAATTTGAGAGTATACAGTGCAAAGCCTCCAGGCGGCGGGGAAGGCGAGTGGGAGGGCGAATGTCAGTAACCGTTTCCTCTCCCCCAGTGACCCTGACCAACCTCCACCCACAGGGGCCCGAGGCCCCAGAGTGTGGAGCCCAGAAAGGCACTGGCTCAGCACTGAAGCCCTTCAAATTTGTGCCGAGTAGGGCCAATCACCAATCACAGAGGGCTCCAGGAACCCTGGGGGTTGAGTCAGTGCCACCTTTCCACCCGTGAACCCTCCCCCGGGTGCCCTCACCAACCTGCCTATCTGTTTGAACAGCTGCACCAATGACACTCTTAAATCTGGGTACAAAGAGAAAAGGAAAGCTGTAGTGATGGTGCATGCCTGGGATCCCAGCACTGTGGAAGGCTGGAGCAGGAGGATCCACTTGGGCAACTTGGCCCCTTAGCAAGCTCCTGTCACAAAATGAAATATTTTTTAAAAGGGCTGGGGATATAGCTAAATGCAAAGGACCTGGGTTTAATCGCCAGTGAGAGAGAAAGAGAGAGGCAGAGTTCTCCAGCATCCTAGGTACCAGTCTCACCAAAGACACAAGGAAGCTCCTCCCACTAGTTCAGGCTCCGTGATTCCAGGGGCCTGGGAACTGACCCCTCCACCTACTCCAAATGTTGTTTAATTAGGCACCGATCAAGGTATTACCTCCTGAGGTCTCCCCAAAGCCCACCCTTCCAGAAAACACTATGGCTCTGGTGCCCTGCTAGGTCACAGGTGGCAACAAAGGAAGCTGGAAAACTATCGAGGCTGAAACCATTTTCATTTCTTTGTCAAAACACCATTCCCTGTACCTGTGTGTGAATATCTATGCTTGTGCACACCACACACACACACACACACACACACACACACACACATGCAAATGACCTACCTTTCCATCCATACAAAAGCTCAGATGCTGGGCAGAGTCCCTTGAACTCCTCTGCTGTTTTGTTTGCTACCAGAAACAAAAGTAGGAAAATCACCCTCCTGGATAAAAACCCCAACCAAGGAACCAGCCCTGTGCTGTGGCGCCCTCCACGTAATCATCCCTCTGGTGGGGGCTTCAGAAAAGAATTCCCTGCCCTCAAGGGGCTTACAATCTGCTTTGGAACCAATTAAATAACAATACACAGCAGCTTATAATTAAGCATCTAATTGTGTGGTTCTGACTGTGAGGACACACAGATCTCCATGTGGACTTGGGGACAGATCCCTTCCCTTCTCAGTCCCTGTATCTCCAGGACAGCATACCCTCTTCCTGCCATGGTGGGGAGACCTTCCTTCCTCTCTCTAGCCAGTGATGTGACTTTGAGACAAATCTGCCTCTGGGCCTCAGTGTCCTCTAGAAAATGAAGTGTTTTTGTTGTTGTTGTTGTTGTTGTTGTTGTTTGTTTTTTGGTACCGGGGATCAAACTTGGGTCCTTGCACTTGTGAGGCAGGGAGCAGAACCACTGAGCTAAATCCCCGGCCCTTCCTCTAGAAAATGAGATGACCACTTGCAGGTGATATGCAGATCTTTATGGCCCAGAGGCTCCAGGGAGAAGCTGGGCCCTGCCGAAGAAGAAGTCTGAATCCTTGAAGGAAGAGGAGGAAGCCTCAGGCTGAGGAAACTAGAAATGGAAAAGACATATATCAAGAAAATGGGAAGGAAAAAACAGGAGGGTTGTGAAGGTTCTCGAAGGCCCAAGACTGGCATGCTTTGTAGACCATAAGGAGTCATTAGACACAACACATGACAGTTGCTCTTTAGAGACTCTGAGTGACCAGAGGCCCTGCAGTGTGAGGTGGTGAGGACCTGGCGTGGCTGAGCCCAGGGTGATTGCAAAAGCAGAAGTGGTTGTGCTTGAGCAACTCTACTGCGCCAAAGCCTGGCAGACTCCGCAGCACCTGGACAGTGCTGGGAGATGCGTGGAGCCCCAGGCTGGGGCACGGGGTCCTGCCAATAAACACAGGCCCAAGGTGTGGCGAGGGGATGTAATCAGCCTCTCTTGTCCCCCAGAGAACAGTCTGCAGGGGAAAGGGCAGGCTGTAGGAGCCAGGTAGATGGGCATTATGCAGATGGTTAACTAGCCACATAGCGGGCCATTGTAAGAACACTTTGTCAAGCAGTTTTGAAACTGAAGTAATCCAAAGGTCTCCAGTGTGGCACAGCATTCAGTTTGCTGAAAAAAACATGGTGGAAAACAAACCTTTGAAGAGTCGTGCTCCTGTCCAGTCCAGTCTCCTGCCCTCCCTGGCATTCTTGAGAGAATGACAGGTTGAAAGTATGAAGGGAGCTGAAAATTAGTGCGGTGGACCCTGTCCGGACCAGGTAAACAGGTGACACGGTGGCCCCCTTTAGAGCCAAAGGGAGAAGCCCTCCCAGGATTCCTCTTTGTTGTGCAGCTCAGGATGAGCACTTGCAGTCTGGAAATGAAGACTCCTTGACGTCCACACTCTTTTGTGGCCTTGGACAAACCACCTCACTTCCCTGGGCCTCGATTCCTACCTTTCTGAAACAAAGTGTGGGACTGGTTGTTCTACAACTGGATGACCCAGAACAGATTTGCTCCCCACTTCATGGGCCTTTCTTGCCTCCGAGCTCTGCCACAGGAATGCACAGAGCTGACAGGGCCAGTCCCACTGGTGAGCCCCGGTCATGTGTGGAAGACTTCCCAGCAGGCTTCCTTCTGACATCCAAGACCACAGCAATGGCTCGAAGGGGGTTCTGGCTACCCCTCCTTTAGACCCGGAAGTCCTGCTGCGTCACACACTCTCCTCGCTTCCTCTCAGCAGGACTGGCCAGTGCCCTCCCCAGTCCCTCAGATAGGACCTTGGGTGAACACAGCATGGGGCCGGGCGCTGGCAGGACCAAAAGGAGCCACGTGCCCCTGCTCTTGTGAAAGTATGTGTCAGAGTCATAGCCCAGGAGAGCTGGCGCTAACAGAGCGCATCAAGGGAAACATTTCAGGTGGCTGAGGCAGAAGCAGAACCCCACTGGGGGATGGGCAGAGGCCCTGAAATCAGCCTGAGCTGCCACCTCTGACAAGGGCTGGCCCAGTTTCACTGACATTGTCCCAAAGGTCACACTTTGCCTTCCCAGGTTTGACCTGTGTTATCTCTGGTCCGGGATATACTGGATTTCCACCCGCTTCCCAGTGAACCGCTCCTTCCAGCTCTGCACTTTGCAGCACACACATACTCCTGAGGCCCCAGATCTGGCCTCTGGGCTCATCCTGACTCTCCATGGTCTCCCTGCATGTTTTCCCAGGGGCGGCCTTGCATGCGGCAACTAGAAAGACTTCTAGATTCTAGAGGAACCAATGAAAAGGGATTACCAACAAGCAGACTTCACACACCCCTCCCACACTGCCAAGAGGTCCCTTAGGTCCCATTTTTCACTCACGTATACCTGCCCATGGCTCTCATCAAATGATTTGTCCCTGCCTGCTGATCCAGGTGGACCATTCTCCCCTCCCACCATTCAACCCTGGGATGTGTTGCCCATGTTGCAGGCACTGGCCCCATTTCAAGGCTCCTGGATGCTCTCTCCACGTTGACACCCCCAGAGCTGGTCTCTCTCAGCCAAGTCCAGCCCCGCCCTCCCCTGTTACTGTCCTTGTCCCTCCATCCAATCCCCTGACTTTCTGTTGAACTTCCTCCGAGTTTGCCTGCATCTCTTTTGTGTTACTAAATCGAGTATCACTCACTGGCAGTCACCCTGCTTCCACTGTGAGACTTTAAATTCCTTGAGAGAAGAGCTCACCTCTGTCTTCCTGCCTTGTATCACCTGCCACTGCACCCAGGCCACCTCAGGCTCTCAGTCAGTGAGTATATCTGTGTGTAGTACACACCCACACATGCACATTCACAAGTCTTTCATACACAGATCCGAACGTTCTCACACCCCCATGTTCACAAACACACATCAACTGCCTTTAGCACCTGAACAGGCTGCCACCTCTGTGAGCACCGTGCCCACAATGCCAAGCTCCACATCATACCCTCCCTGTCCCAACCTGGGAGGGCAGGGCCACCTCTCCTCAACCTTCATCTTGACCCCTCATGTCAGGTGGGCAGGACAGCAGCCAGCATCTCACAGAGCGAATGAGGAAGCCAAAGCCAGTGAGACAAAGACACTGCATGGCCTGATTGGCCAAAGGTCTACAGTGAACAGCAGATGAATTTCCTTCTGACACCTGGGGAAGGGCTCATCCCATGTCCCCAACGTCCACCTAGACTACCACCCTCGTTTCAAGGACAGACAGGGGACAACTGCATC